ATTGTTATCTCGACGCGCGTGAATCCCATTTTCTTGTCTTTTTTTTTTTCTTTCTTTTCTTTTTCTTTTACACCCGACCTCCGCGTTCGCATACGCATACGCGATACAGATGTGGGGCACGTATACCCATGTGCGATTTCCCTGCGATTCCGAAGAATCCTTTCGCCGTGTATTTTTTGGCAAATGCTTCAAATGGGCTCTGTTTGTTGATTAATTTTATTTGCACACAGTCGCATAATTATTAGAATATTGGGGAAAGAGAATCTTGATCATTTTATAAAGTCTCATTTTTACTTCAAATATTTCACGTCTCACGCATATAAAATGTATACATGTATGCGGCATATTGTCTATTTCACATATCGTGAAACAGATATAATTTTCAATCTTCGCTCGCGGGAATGCAAACAATGTAAAGCGCATCTCTAGCCGTCGAATTTTCGGAAGAACGCACGCGCGCGTTGAAAGCTGTTTATCGGAAACGGATCACGATGACGGATATCGCTCCGAAATAATAAACGTAGTGGCTGATACGTGCATGTGTGTACACATACGTAGATACCTGCGTCGAGGGTACGTGATGCATGGCTCGTTGTTTTACAAGCTCAATTTCACGAAACAACAAAAGTTACATCTTCGTGTGAAAAAAACGATAAAAAGACATAAAGAGCATCAACTATTTGTACGTTTCAGCTACTATTAAAATTCTATCATATCATGTTGCATATCGTCGTAATATTGTACATCCTAGTTATTAATAATTTTTTAGATAGGAATCTAGTCATTAAATGAAGTGACAGAGTGTGCATTTTGCTTAACTTTACCATCTGAATATCTTTGTTGCTTTTGAGGGTGCGAAAAAATGGTATAAAAAAATTCGAGGGGATAGGAATTGTCAAACTTTTAAACTCACTTTTTTTTATAGAATCACATTATATAATTCTTTTACATTAAATCCATTTTCCTCTGAAATTCTGGAAATATGTGATGATAAAAATTTAATAACTTGCGAGATAAATCAGGTTTCCTATCTTTTCCTTTTTTTTTTTTTTTCCGACGTATACATATTTGAACATAAAATATGAAATATCTCGTAAAGAGTATATTCGCTTTGATCAAATTAAATAAAATTCAGATAGCATCTTCATTTTCATATCCGTTTCGTTCAACGGCAGTTTCCAGTCTGATCGTAGCGTCCTCGCATCGATCGAAATTATCAGTCGATGGGTGTGTCGCGTATATACGTGTGTGTGTGTATTTTTCCACATTCAAAATTTAAGATAAACTCGCGACATACGTCGACGCGATTAAATATCTCCCCGATGACGTTTTTATCAAAATAGCAATGGTGTATGAAAGTATATATCGCGAAAATAAAAATAAGAAAAAAATCTGAAAAAAATTTATAATAACAAAACGCTCTCGCTTTTTTTTGCGTTATTATAAATTTTTTCTCGCCCTCCAACCGTATGTAACCGTAGCATAAATGGCTTCGTAGCTGGATATGCGTGTCTACACGCGACCATTGCATTGCTCCATTGCGGTTTCCATGGTTTTTTTTTTTTTTTTTTTTTTTTTTTTTTTTTTTTTTTTTTTTTTTTTTTTTTTTTTTTTTTTTTTTTTTTTTTTTTTTTTTTTTTTTTTTTTTTTTTTTTTTTTTTTTTTTTTTTTTTTTTTTTTTTTTTTTTTTTTTTTTTTTTTTTTTTTTTTTTTTTTTTTTTTTTTTTTTTTTTTTTTTTTTTTTTTTTTTTTTTTTTTTTTTTTTTTTTTTTTTTTTTTTTTTTTTTTTTTTTTTTTTTTTTTTTTTTTTTTTTTTTTTTTTTTTTTTTTTTTTTTTTTTTTTTTTTTTTTTTTTTTTTTTTTTTTTTTTTTTTTTTTTTTTTTTTTTTTTTTTTTTTTTTTTTTTTTTTTTTTTTTTTTTTTTTTTTTTTTTTTTTTTTTTTTTTTTTTTTTTTTTTTTTTTTTTTTTTTTTTTTTTTTTTTTTTTTTTTTTTTTTTTTTTTTTTTTTTTTTTTTTTTTTTTTTTTTTTTTTTTTTTTTTTTTTTTTTTTTTTTTTTTTTTTTTTTTTTTTTTTTTTTTTTTTTTTTTTTTTTTTTTTTTTTTTTTTTTTTTTTTTTTTTTTTTTTTTTTTTTTTTTTTTTTTTTTTTTTTTTTTTTTTTTTTTTTTTTTTTTTTTTTTTTTTTTTTTTTTTTTTTTTTTTTTTTTTTTTTTTTTTTTTTTTTTTTTTTTTTTTTTTTTTTTTTTTTTTTTTTTTTTTTTTTTTTTTTTTTTTTTTTTTTTTTTTTTTTTTTTTTTTTTTTTTTTTTTTTTTTTTTTTTTTTTTTTTTTTTTTTTTTTTTTTTTTTTTTTTTTTTTTTTTTTTTTTTTTTTTTTTTTTTTTTTTTTTTTTTTTTTTTTTTTTTTTTTTTTTTTTTTTTTTTTTCCGTTCCCGTAAGAAACGCAACTACCCGTCGAGGAGAAAAGTCGACCACAGTTTTACGGCAATTACTAGTCGAGTTATTTGTGCAGCCGTATATTTTTAATAATCGATATAAAAAGAAATATATACAGACTCTCAATTTTAGCAGAAGGGCACCGACGTATAGTCGAATTTCCGTATTCTAAACTCCACGAGCTAAGCTCTATTCTTGGCACTTCTCCTCGGCTATCAATCTCTCATTCCGCTGACAAATGCGCAAAATGAAAATATCATTACGCTAGTTGCACTATTGATAGATAAAGTTGTGAATAATGCATGCTTATCGTCTGGTCCTTCATTGGCTTTCTCACTCTACGTACGGCGATGTGGTAAATGTGAAGGGTAAGGGAGCGGCGCAAGGAAAAGATACGGAGGTTGATATAAAAGTGCTAAGAATAGGGATGTTAAGAGTACAGAGGGTTCGACTATATCTTCACTTCTCAGCGATTTAATGCACTTTATCAGACCTGATATTACTTGGATCGATTTAGTTAACTTACTCGCCTGAAGCTCGCACGTTCTCACGCATCGCTCCTTTACATATTAAATCGACTTGTGTTTGTCTAAAGTTTCTATCTCCCGTGATTTTCTCGGACGAATTGTATAATCTAAATAGCGTAACAAAAAAATTTTTTTTTTTTTCTGTTACGCGGTTGCATTATTAAATCTGTTTCACTTTTCATTTTTATTACTCTCTCTCTCTTCTCTTTCAGAGCGCGGTTAAGATTATCATCTTTATTACTTTTCTCACACAGTACAATTACGTTCTGCTATTGTGCACGCTTGTAAGTTATTAAATCCGTTCCATTCCTATTTTCATCTTTATTACTTCTCTCTCACGCGCGGTACGGTTGAAGAAAATTAGATTAGGATGCTCCCATAAACACGGCATCTTGTGGTCTGCTGATATCGATGTAGTTTAACACATTTTGCTTTGAAGTGTCAGTTCAACTTATATGTGAGTAAATAGTTCGCGTTTAAATTTTTATAGATACTTTGCACGAAAATATCTCGCATTAAATAGTTCAGTTTTATAATAGAAGAATAGAGGGAGACAGATAATGTTCGTAACAATGTCTATTTTTATAAATGAAGAAGAAAAAAATTTAATCTTTTTATATTTTAAACTTGTATCAATATGTGATTTCTAATATTTCTCTCATATTTTCCCGTATGATTTTTAGCGTATGTCTCAGTTTTGAAAAACAATTTTTCAGATTTCAATATCCATGTCCTTTTAAAAAGATCGTTTGTTAGAAGAAAACAAAACCGTAATACAATCTAATGGAGTATTGTAATACAATCTCTAGTAAACATATCTCTCTTTGTGAGTATTAAATTTTTATTCTAAAATTCTTTAACTTTTTAATTGGGAACTCTAATAAAGTTGGAATGATATGGCTTGTATTTAGATTTTCTTATTTTTACTCATATTTATTTTTTTATATGTAATATCGAATAACATTTCACATTATGTGCATGCTAACTTGTCTTACGACGCACCGTCAACAGATCGCTCTTAACGCCTCGTGTACCACAACTCGTCGTAAATCGACTCGACGATATTCGAGTCTATCTATGATAACCATGCTTTTCCAACGTGCGCGTGCGTGTGTGCGTGCATCGTCCGTGCGTGCGTGCGCGCGCGCGATGCCTTTCGTTTCTCGCGTGAAACCACGTCAATTCGCTTAATGACGTTAATTCTGCGGATGCCAAGATGTCGTTCAAGAGAATTGCTAGCGTGGATTCTCGATCATACGAGGTCGAAGTAAATAGCCGGTTGCGATTCAATCGAAAAAAGAATCGTCCAGAAATATTACAATTATTAAACAATTTTTTTTTTATGAGCGATTTTAAAATTAAGAAGCAGAAAAGGGAGAATTTTAAACGATCTTCTATTTTTATAATAGTTTCTTGCTCGAGAAGTTCGATAAAATCAGATAAGAAGGATCGAATCGTGATTTTCGCTTATAATTATCAGATTTTTTTATCCGATATCTTTTATCTGATAATTCTTCCATTTTTTTTATACTGTTTGATATTTTTTTTTATCACACTAATATATATAATATTTATAAAAATTCCTCGATAAAAAAAAATTTGTTTCTTGAGATATCTCAATATTTTTAAGATGTGATATTTTATTTTCATATTATTAGTATAATTTATACAAATGTATAGGAATATTTTCGAATAGACACTAAGCACGCGAGAGAGACTTATGTCGACTCGTAAATTGTCGATTGAATCGAAAATCTCGATTGTAACTAAAGATGAGCCGACATATTATCAAACATCATGATTTATAAGATTCAGAAACTGATTTTATTCTCTCTATCAATTTTTATTTCCCTCTCCTCCGACAATATTCCCGTTAAAAATCGCTATATTGGCCGGTTACAGGACAAGGTGCAATGGCTGACGACCGAAATAACCACCGGGGCTTCGTCACACGGCAGTCACACGTGGTAAGTAACGTTTCGCCGTATTAATCGCCAACAGATAGAGTCGCCGATTAGCGGCCGCGTACTCTCTCTCTCTCTCTCCCGCTCGTTCTCTCTCGCTCTCGCGATCCTCGAATCGCGGAATTCGGTAATTTTAGAAAAGCCGCGGAGAGCGTACAGGACAGGGAAAACGCGGTCTCGTCGTGCAATCGATCGTCTCTTCTGCGGAAATGCGAATTTTTAGATTGTTGTCGAGGATGCATTCCACTCATTTCGTTTGCAACAGCGGTTCTCATTCTCGCGATATCTCACGCGCCTATGATAAAAAAGATTTGCCGCGAAATCCAGCGATATTCGGTCTTGGACATTTTCCAGGACATTTCTCAGGAACGCGTCGACAATGACGGAGCGTTTGAGAAAGATCGGTGAAGCGCGTGCCTCGTCGAGGAGCAGATCGACCGGTGTGATTTATCGTGAATCCGTTGACGTAAGAAGCTGTCATCGAGAGACACCGGAACGCGGTCTCTCGAAAATCAAGCGAAAACCGTGTAATCCGCTCGCTTGATCCGACGTGGTCACTTATTCCTCGCTCGAGGAAAATAAATCAACGGCGCGCCGAGAATCTCCCGAAAAGATTTTCGATAAACCATCGAGCGGGAGAGTGCTCCGGGAGGGCGCGAGAAGGCAGTTTGCGTAAATAAGCAGCTTAAAAATAGTCCGCCGACTGTTGTACCGGAGAGCAAATAAAGCCTACTCTCGCGACTTTAAAGAGACTTCATAGAGAGTAATGTTATACAAATTTCTCAATTTTCCTATAAATCTTTCCATAAATTTATCCTAACTCTCGAAGAATCTTTTGAAGCGCGGAGAATTTTATAAAGAGATCGCGTCACTTTAATATAATGTATCATAATACTTGATTATCGGAAAGGGGATATTTATACTTAACAAGAGCGTTTCGTAAAACCGAGAAGCTTTCGAAATTCGACGTTTCGTACGCAATGAGCCAGTACCCTGTTTTATTTCACAGTCTACGTATATTAGTAACGCGAGTATATATATTTGCATTTTATAGAATAGATAATCTCTACGAAGCGCTTATTTAAGTTTGTGTCGCGTTGACCCATGGCATAATCACAACATACCATTACGCGCTATCTCTCTCTCTCTCTCTCTCTTTCTTTCACCACAATGCTTGCTCATCGATTACTTGTCCGATTAGTCCACCCACCATGTGTGCCTGAATCTGCCTACGATGACGCAAATGCGGCCGTGGAGCGTTGTGCGTGCGTGGTCTTATTGAATAAAAAAAAAAAAAAAAAATCGGGGTTTTGTTTTCCCCAAGAGGAAGAGAATGTATTTCAAAGGATGGTCTCGCTTAACGAAGTTGACGAGAATTAATCAGGCATCGTTTATAAAATCGAACAGCGTATGAGATTCGTTCGTGCCACTACTAAATAAACTGTAAAATATAGTACCTTCGCACAAATATTATCCTACGTCTCTCTAGCATTTATTAGACTAAACTAATCGTCGTAATCGAGCAACGGATCGTGTCGTCGAGTGGAACGAGCGCGGTAAATTGCGAGTGCTCGGAAGTTACGATCTTTATTAATGGAAAAAGTGACATTCCTCGCGGACAAGAACCACCGATCCCTCGTTTTCCGCTCTCTTGCGTTAATCCGGATAGCCCGTTCTCTTCTTAGCCGCGTCTCTCCTCGCTACGTCTGTTTCATTTCGAGTGTGAAAAGTACGCGATCGACGCAGCAACTCCGTGCGAAATATCGCACGGTCTGTCGCAACTTTTGCACTGCGAAAGCAACGGCCCTTTCGATCGAAAAAAAACGGAGCGAGAAACGAAGGCTATCCGCGATTCCGTTTGTTTCGAGCCGCGCTTTCACAACTCACCGTGGTGCATTCCGCTCGATCTTTACTCGATCTCTTTTATTTACTATTATATATTTATGATTATTTATTTTTGGAACCGTTTTAACATTTTGTATTTTTTTTTTTTTTTTTTTTTTTTTTTTTTTTTCCGAATTTTTTTTTTTTTAATACTCGGCGTCGGTGTAAGTGATACTATCATTCCTGCATATGTAGATTTTACGTCTCTATCAAGTCGTATAAAAAGAGAAAGGAAGAGGCGATTATCGAAAAGCGCAATGTTCTAAAAAGAATGCACAGAGCGGTGAAAGAGGAAAGGGAGCGTCCCTCGTTGGAGGAGAGCGCGTATATCGCGATATCGAATCGTCAGAGGCGGCGAGCGGCGACGACGGATTGTGCGAAACGCGCGTGCCGCGACTATCGGCGATTGTTTTGCAGGAGGTGACGATAACGATGACGCGGGAAGAGGGGGACAAGTGCGCATTCGTGCTCTCGCGAATTCCCATGTCAGTCGACGCAATTGGTCGTGGCAGTATCGCCGTGACCATCGCGCCGGTTATGGCACCATCGCGCGCGTCATTTCCCGCCCTGTGCGATTCTTTTTCCGCCTCGGAGCGCGCCCGAACTGACGTTCCGATGAATAATCACGTCGCGAGCCAAATTTTCGACGGCCGTCGACACCCAACTCTGGCGATAATTTATCTATTAGTGCATTAAATAGTGAATTAAATCGCGAGAGTGTCGTCTTTCGCGAGCGCGAGCTTTCCGTTTAAATAATCTACGGTAAGTCGACGTAGCGGTAGCGCACAGGATAAAATTTGTCTGAATGTGTTATAAAAATTATTGCGAGCGAAATTTTTAACTAGAGAAATGCTCCATTAGATTGTATTACGGTTTTGTTTTCTTCTAACAAATGATATTTTTAAAAGGACGTGGATATTGAAATCTGAAAGATTGTTTTTCAAAACTGAGACATACGCTAAAAATCATACGGGAAAATATGAGAGAAATATTAGAAATCACATATTGATACAAGTTTAAAATATAAAAAGATTAAATTTTTTTCTTCTTTATTTATAAAAATAGACATTGTTACGAACATTATCTGTCACCCTCTATTCTATCGTGTATTTATCCAATCGACTCGAGAAACGTTGAAAGCTGTAAAATTACTCGTCCCGCTAGATCAGCTGATTTCCAACTCTACGCTGTCAAAAAATACATATGATATTATAGAATTACGTGCACAACAAGTGTCAGATCACACGATAAATATACCGGAAATGATATACATTTCTATTATTTATCGTGTAAATTCCATGTAATTTTACAGACTTTTGACAGTGTATACGGCAAAATAAATTTCTCGTGAGAGACGCGAGTTTGTTTTTTCCACCCTATTTCTTTACCCTTTCGCTCTTCATTCACTCGCAAAAACCTTGGCTATTCTCTTCCTTTATTGGCACGCAATCCCCTTTTTCGATTTTCTTTCGGCGACATACCGGGCGGCGAGGTCACATCGTCGCGAGGAAGCATTCTGTTTTTTAAACGCAACGCATTTAAGGCTCGTGCTCGCCTCGATTCGAAGCACGTCTACGCCGGCGACGAAAAGGAGAAGCTAGTGTTCAAGATTTCTTTTTTTCATTTCAAGATCACAGCGATTATTTATTCTATATGGATCGATCGATGGCAGATATACATATATGAAAGATTAGTATCGATCCGTGTCGCGAATATTAGAGCGTCTTTATTATTGGATACATATCAATTTTTGCCATGGATATAATTAAATTGGAGACGTACAGAATGTTATGAATATTTTATACATTTTCCACTGTATGATCATATCTTCTCGAAGATAGATCCATTATTTAACAAGCATGGAAAAATCAATCAATTTATTTGTTATGTATTTGGATCTTTAAATCTTGTAACATGATCATCTCTCTCGCTGTAACACACGTTCGGATCCTTTTTACGGTATTACTGTCTTCAATATCCTGGGCTTTATTTGTCGAATCATCGATTTTTCATTCCGCTTCAACTGCTCTACTGTCTGAAATCTGTTAGCGTACGCCTTTCCTTTGAGATAAAAGCAGTCTCCAAAAAGAAAGAAGCCTACAAAAGAAGACACTATCTTCTGTCAATCTTTTGCGATATATTGCTGCGGAAATTCTCGTCGTGCAGAGATTCTTTTGTACAAGAATTACTTAATTTGTAGAAAAAAAATCGTTTATATAAAAAAAATTGTCATCTTATCGTTTTGCATTTTTAAAGTGCGTATCGATTCGATAGAGAATTTCTGCACACCTGTCAACACAATGACAGAAGCCGTATACAAGCTAAAATGGCGGTCTCGTGCGGGTGGGTAATTTATTTTTGCGCCGTCCTCTGTCCATAAACTTTCGTTATTGCTTTTACGCGATAGATTCACTGCCCAAGTCACGCACACTAGGAAGCGCTCTCTGTGTAGCAAGAGTAAATAATCGTTTATAAACGGCGAGATTTTCCTTTCCTTCCCTTCAATAGGACTCGCAGTTTAGCATTTTCAATGCCCGTGAAAAAGTTGGGAACTGACTGTCGGTCGTCGATCGGAGTCGCTCTTTACGTAAGAGTCGTCGATAGAGCGAAATTATATAAGCTACTCGTGCACGGGAGGGGCAAAAGGGAGGTGGACGTGCTGAA